ATTTCTGTGTCCAGTGTGTCTCCCGGTGTTTGTGGGTGGGAGAGGAGGAGGAGGAGGAGGAGGAGGAGGAGGAGGAGGGAAGTGGTCGTTCCTCGCCTTGCCCACGCTCGCCCTACTCACACCTCACCAGCCTACCACCACACTCCACCACTGTGTGTTCACTCCCTCTGCTGTGTTTTCTGCTGTTTTTCGTGTGAATTCTTTGCCAGTGCTGTATCCGAGTGCCCGAGGCCACTCGAAGCTATGTGGATCAGCATGCCACGTAGATCAGCAAGCCACGTGGATCAAGCCACGTGGATCAAGCCACGTGGATCAAGCCACGTGGATCAGCAAGCCACGTGGATCAGCAAGCCACGTGGATCAGCAAGCCATGTGGATCAGCATGCCACGTAGATCACGACACCACGTGGATCCCAACGCCACGTGGGGTGTGGGCGATGTCACGTGGATCTACAAGCCACGTGGGTTACCAAGCCAGATGTCCCAGGCCACATACTGTGGTCTGCTGCCCACATCACATGACGTCACCCACGATGCTGCCCGACTTCATGACGTCACGATGTCTGCCTGATGTCACCTCAATGTCTACTGACGTCACAGTGCTGCTGACATCACCTCGCGACGTCACGCCTGACATCACATTGAGTGTTCTAGTAATTATTTCAGTATTGTCGAGAAGATATATGTCGTTTGTTAATTAATTCCTCTCAGTCAGTGTTCTCACATGTTAGAATATGGCTTAGTGTCAGGGAGGTACTACTGTCCTGCCAAGCGAGTGTAAAACGAAAGCCTGTAATTGTTTTACATGATGGTAGGATTACTGGTGAAATTTTTCTGTCTCATAAACATGCAAGATTTCAGGTACGTCTTGCTACTTCTACTTACACTTAGATCACACTACACATACATGTACAAGCATATATATACACACCCCTATGGGTTTTCTTCTATTTTCTTACTAGTTCTTGTTCTTGTTTATTTCCTTTTACCTCCATGGGGAAGTGAAACAGAATTCTTCTTCCCTAAGCCATGCGTGTTGTAAGAGGCGACTAAAGTACCAGGAGCAAGGGGCTAGTAACCCCTTCTCTTGTATAAATTACTAAATTTAAAAGGAGAAACTTTCATTTTGCTCTTTGGGCCACCCTGCCTTGGTAGGATACGGTTGGTTTGTTGAAAAAAAAATTAGTGATTTAAAAAGTTTTATGCAAATTCTAAGCAATTTATGATATACAAGTTTTGGAGCTCTAGTTGGCTATGGATATTTGCTGCACATTCTGTAAATGGCTATTATTGGACTATTGTAATTATTCTTCCTTCAACAAACCGGCCGTATCCCACCAAGGCAGGGTGGCCCAAAAAGAAAAACAAAAGTTTCTCTTTTTAAATTTAGTATTTTATACAGGAGAAGGGTTACTAGCCCCTTGCCCCCGGCATTTTAGTCGCCTCTTACAACACGCATGGCTTACGGAGGAAGAATTCTGTTTCACTTCCCCTATTGTAATTTTTTTTTTTTCAACAAGTCGGCCGTCTCCCACCAAGGCAGGGTGACCCAAAAAAGGAAAAAATCCCCAAAAAGAAAATACTTTCATCATCATTCAACACTTTCACCACACTCGCACATTATCACTGCTTTTGCAGAGGTGCTCAGAATACAACAGTTTAGAAGCATATACGTATAAAGATACACAACATATCCCTCCAAACTGCCAATATCCCAAACCCCTCCTTTAAAGTGCAGGCATTGTACTTCCCATTTCCAGGATTCAAGTCCGACTATATGAAAATAACCGGTTTCCCTGAATCCCTTCACTAAATATTACCCTGCTCACACTCCAACAGATCGTCAGGTCCCAAGTATCATTCGTCTCCATTCACTCCTATCTAACACGCTCATGCACGCTTGCTGGAAGTCCAAGCCCCTTGCCCACAAAACCTCCTTTACCCCCTCTTTCCAACTCTTTCGAGGACGACCCCTACCCCTCCTTCCTTCCCTTATAGATTTATATGCCTTCCATGTCATTCTACTTTGATCCATTCTCTCTAAATGACCAAACCACCTCAACAACCCCTCTTCTGCCCTCTGACTAATGCTTTTATTAACTCCACACCTTCTCCTAATTTCCACACTCCGAATTTTCTGCATAATATTTACACCACACATTGCCCTTAAACAGGACATCTCCACTGCCTCCAACCGTCTCCTCGCTGCTGCATTTACCACCCAAGCTTCACATCCATATAAGAGTATTGGTACTACTATACTTTCATACATTCCCTTCTTTGCCTCCATAGATAACGTTTTTTTGACTCCACATATACCTCAACGCACCACTCACCTTTTTTCCCTCATCAATTCTATGATTAACCTCATCCTTCATAAACCCATCCGCCGACACGTCAACTCCCAAGTATCTGAAAACATTCACTTCTTCCATACTCCTCCTCCCCAATTTGATATCCAATTTTTCTTTATCTAAATCATTTGATACCCTCATCACCTTACTCTTTTCTATGTTCACTTTCAACTTTCTACCTTTACACACATTCTCAAACTCATCCACTAACCTTTGCAATTTTTCTTTAGAATCTCCCATAAGCACAGTATCATCAGCAAAAAGTAACTGTCAGTTCCCATTTTGAATTTGATTCCTCATAATTTAATCCCACCCCTCTCCCGAACACCCTAGCATTTACTTCTTTTACAACCCCATCTATAAATATATTAAACAACCATGGTGACATTACACATCCCTGCCTAAGACCTACTTTTACCGGGAAGTATTCTCCCTCTCTTCTACATACCCTAACCTGAGCCTCACTATCCTCATAAAAGCTCTTTACAGCATTTAGTAACTTACCACCTATTCCATATACTTGCAACATCTGCCACATTGCTCCTCTATCCACTATCATATGCCTTTTCTAAATCCATAAATGCAATAAAAACTTCCCTACCTTTATCTAAATACTGTTCACATATATGCTTCAATGTAAACACTTGATCTACACATCCCCTACCCACTCTGAAGCCTCCCTGCTCATCCACAATCCTACATTCTCTTACCTCTAATTCTTTCAATTATAACCCTACCGTATACTTTTCCTGGCATACTCAGTAAACTTATTCCTCTATAATTTTTACAATCTCTTTTGTCCCCTTTCCCTTTATATAAAGGGACTATACATGCTCTCCGCCAATTCCTAGGTACCTTCCCCTCTTTCATACATTTATTAAACAAAAGTATCAACCACTCCAACACTATATCCCCCCTGCTCTTAACATTTCTGTCATGATCCCATCAGTTCCAGCTGCTTTACCCCCTTTCATTCTACGTAATGCCTCACGTACCTCCACCACACTTACATTCTGCTCTTCTTCACTCCTAAAAGATGGTATACCTCCCTGGCCAGTGCATGAAATTACCGCCTCCCTTTCTTCCTCAACATTTAAAAGTTCCTCAAAATATTCTCGCCATCTACCTAATACCTCCCTCTCCCCATCTACTAACTCCCCTACTCTGTTTTTAACTGACAAATCCATACTTTCCCTAGGCTTTCTTAACTTGTTTAACTCACTCCAAAATTTTTTCTTATTTTCATTAAAATTTCTTGACAGTGCCTCTCCCACTCTTTCATCTGCTCTCCTTTTGCACTCTCTCACCACTCTCTTCACCTTTCTTTTACTCTCCATATACTCTGCTCTTCTTATAACACTTCTACTTTGTAAAAACCTCTCGTAAGCTACCTTTTTCTCTTTTATCACACCCTTTCATCATCCCACCAATCACTCCTCTTTCCTCCTGCACCCACCCTCCTATAACCACAAATTTCTGCCCCACATTCTAATACTGCATTTTTAAAACTATTCCAACCCTCTTCAACCTCCCCCCCCTCCACACTACTCATCTTTGCACTAGCCCACCTTTCTGCCAATAGTCGCTTATATAATCAAATTAAATTAAATGCTAAACCTGTAAGGGTCACATAGCACTTTGGACTTTAACCCTTAAACGGTCCAAACAGATCGACGTTCAGATTCGTAGTGCTACAAAAGTAGATCTACTTTTTTTTACATATTTTCAATGACAAAAAAAAAAAATGTAGATAAAAGTTTTTTTTTACATGTTTTCACATGTAAAACAAAAAGAGATATACATTTTTTTTACATACTTTCAGATGTTGAAAAAACGTATATATACGTTTGGACCATTTAAGGGTTAAGGGAAAGTGTGGCACTTATTAAAAAGAAAAATGAAATGCTGGCTGGTAGTAACAGGTGCTGTGGAGTTACTATTTTCCATCTCTGGTAAGTTGTCTCCTTGTATTTGTATGAATAACTTTTATTCCATTATTCAGAGTGGTTGATTAATCTTAAAAAATGTGTGATGTTCTCAGTCTCCTTGTGTTGCAGCACAGCCTTACTGATTTTCCTTATCTGGCATGTTGAGCATTAGGATAGCATCTTTAGAATTTATGGAGCAAACTGAAATTACCCCCTGTCATCTTTCACCTTCAATTGCCATTCCTGAATCTGAAGGCAACTTTCAGTAGTGCATCTATCATCAGATGGTTCTTTTTCCCATCAGGAGGCATAACACCATTATCAGACTGAGGCTAGGGTAGACGGACAGGGATCCCCTTTATCATCAAGGAATTAATTTCACAGAATGGTAAGACATTCTAGCTATCTGGATAATTAACAGGGAAGAGTTGAAGAATATTCAGATCTTTTAGTATTTAAAGGACTTGCTCGGTTAGGATTTCTAATGTAAGATCATTTCAAGACTATCTTTAATCATACATTTTATTTCATACTATTTCTTTCCATATCTTAAGAGGGCGAAAAGCATCACATTTATCCAAGAGAGACTGATCACGTGAATACAGCAATTTTTTTAATTAATATATTCACTAATATACATAAAAAATAGCCTAACTGCAAATAAAGAAAAATAAATTATTACACTTGCTAAAAAAAATGGATGAAACAAACAATGAAATACAAAAGCATTTTATTGACTCCCAAAATCACATATTTGGATGCCCCAAAAAAGCAAAAATAAAAAAAAAAGTAAATAAATGAAAAATATATTAGCTTGAATTATCAGTCTGTAAATGCCAATAATTAAATGCTAAATGATCGTCAAAAATAGAATTGTCAAAATTGCTTATCTTCGAAATACTGTATATGAACTCTTGTACCTTTTGGCAGTTTTCCATTACCTGTGTGGGAGAGACCTCTACCTTCTAAACACAAGACGAAAGCAAGGTGAAATTTTGGTCCACTTGCATCACTGACACTTAACTAATGATGTGCAAAAACAAATAAATATTGAATTACCCTAAAAACTGTCTTGCCAACGCCTTGCTATCAATCAGCACCTTTTTCTTAACATTAAAGCAAAAAATATTGACTCAAAGAATAGTTTATGATATCAGGTTACAAAATCAGTAGTTTTTACTTATATACTTAGATTATCAAAGTACAAAACATTTTGGCTTGCAGAACTCCCAAGGAAGTTCAAAGGGAGCGGGGAGAAGGATATCACTTGGATGCGCTATGCACAGCACTGCTGTCGCACTCCTTATTAGGCTTTCTTCTCCTGCTCAATCTCTGAAAAGACACACATTATATATGATTACTGTCAACATTCACAAATTAATTGTACAGTACATCTTATATTTTTTTGATATGCTGTAGTAGACAAATGTGAGGCAGCGTGCACATGTGTACAGAGGCTCTGATTGTAGAACACTAGCATCGGACATTCACCTATGCAAAAGTGATAGTAATATCATGAGTAGTTGCACTGTCATTTGTGTGTACTTTTAGTGGGAGCAAATATAAATCATATTGAGAGCTAAGTTAACTTGGAGCCTTCAAACCCAGTGTTGATATTCAGGAAGGTATTGTCATAAGGTATTGTATAATTTTAGAGAAATCAAAATAACGAAAAAAATAACTAAGCCTGTAAGAACCAAATTAATGTTAGAAAATGCACAAGTGTTCACCTAAGGACTGTAGGAAGTGCGTTCATTTACAGCTACCTCAAGTTACCCTCAGCCAGTCTGTCCCAAACTACTCATGAGGGTAAATGTGCAGGACAGACATCACATCCCGCCACATAGGCCAGCACAACCCACCTCAAACTTAACATTACAAACTAGAAAAATAAAACTATTTGATGATAAATTTCCGAAAGGAGAAAAACAAACAAGGTGATATTCGAAACACCTAAGGCCAAGAGACTTGTTGATGCTAACACAAGTATACAACAGGAGTTAGTATTAAACAAAAGAAAAGTACTATGGGCAAAGAGATTTACACTTCAGTATAAATAGTAATGAGAAGAACCGAGAGTTAAAAATCTGCAAAGTTAACTATAGCATCTCGCAACAGAAGGAAATATAACTGTAAAAGACCTTTAAAAAAAAAGATGGAATATAATACAGAAAAAGTTCCATGCTGCTTGCACTGATGGTAGCTGACATACAGCTTGAGGGTAGGTCATGAAGAATGAAGGATGAAGAATGGGAGGAAAAGATCTTGAAAAGTGTGAAAACAAAATTCAGCAAAACACAAATGAACACTCCAATGATGACCATATGTTACAGATGAGTGCTATTACTAACAGACAAGTGGCAGAGAGAACCAGACTAAAGATCACAAAACATAAGCAATAAGGCACTGGCAGTAACTTTTTAAATCACTATTAACCCTTTGACTGTTGCGGCCGTATACATACGTCTTACGAGGTACAGTGTTTGACGTATATATACTCAAATTCTAGCGGCTTCAAATCAAGAAGGAGAAAGCTGGTAGGCTCACATGTGAGTGAATGGGTCTGTGTGGTCAGTGTGCACCACATAAAAAAAATCCTGGAGCAGGCAGTGCATAATGAGAAAAAAAAACGACCGTTTTTTTTAATTAAAATGCCGACTTTGTGGTCTATTTTCGTATAGTACTTATGGTTGTATTCTCGTTTTCTTGGTCTCGTTTGATAGAATGGAAAAAATATTATAGAAAAAGAAATGATTTTGATTGATTTTACTATAAAAAGAATCTGGAAATGGAGCTCAAAGTAGGGGAAATGTTTGATTTTTGCCGATGTTCAAAAGAAAACAAATGACATTGTCCATTCTAATATGCAGTCATGAATTGGTTCATGTTATTTATACAATTATTACAGTATTGGAGTAGTCTGCATAATAGTAAATCTTCTATTTTTTGTTTGAATAAAAATTCGAAATAGAAAGCAAGAGTAATATCAGAGGGGCCTGGAGACATGACTGATGAACAAAAAAATGTTATTTTAGAGCCAGGAATGTCTGCATTGTTCATTCTGGACCTTATTTTGAAATTGTCATATTTTTTAATTTTCGTGAAATTGGCCAAATTGCAAATTTCTGACCACGTTATTGGGTAGTTGAAATTGGTAAATGGGCAGTTTCTTGTACTCAATCGATAGAAAAAACAGAGTTCTAAAGAAATAGCTATGAGTTTGGTCGACTGGAACAATGGAATTAGCCGAAAATAGGGCTCAAAGTGGGCGAAATCGCCGATTTGTAAATATCGCCAAGGTCGCTAACTTCGCGAGAGCGTAATTCCGTCAGTTTTCCACCAAATTTCGTTTTTTTTTGGTGTCATTACAATCGGGAAAAGATTCTCTATCATTTCATAAGAAATTTTTTTTTTTTTTTTTTTTTTGAAATTTTGCGACACCAGGAGACACCTCAGGATTGGGGGCTGCGACAGTCAAGGGGTTAATATAAAAACCTTCAATTTTGGATGTTTCTATGGCACACTGTAAAAAGGGCAACTTTACACTCAATGGTACAAATAACTACTAGTATTTTTAAGGTAAATTCTTGTAACTGATAAATATTTGATACTCAACATATACAGTGGACCCCCAGTTAACGAACTTTTTTCATTCCAGTAGTATGTTCAGGTGCCAGTACTGACCGAATTTTTTCCCATAAGGAATATTGTGAAGTAGATTAGTCCATTTCTGACCCCCAAACATACACGTACAAACGCACTTACATAAATACACTTACATAATTGGTCGCATTTGGAGGTGATCGTTAAGCGGGGGTCCACTGTATACTGAAATATGCCTATACTTTGTCTCGTTTATTTTTTTCTGCAAGTGAAGAAAAACAATCACACTTGCCCAGAAACACAGCTGCCTGATTTTGGTAAGCATTTTTTTTCCAAGGATTTTAGTTTTTTGGGCTGGGTAATGGAATTTTCATGACTATCATGATATCTACTACGAAAATGCTAAAAGAGCAATCACTATTTAAATGTTCTCTTAGTTACTATTAGTCACACAGTGAAGATTCTCGTTATATAAAGAATGGCATTATTAGTTAGGATTTAAAATTAATGCTGTGTACTTTGAAGAAACAAAACTAATTAATTATAGAATAGTTACCCAATCACTGATAAACTTAATGTAGTTCCCTAACAAAACACTAACAACCCCTAATAAACCATACCACGGACGGGATTGAACCTGTGATCAGAGTCTCAAAATTCCAGACTGTCGCGTTAGCCACTGGGTCAGCTAGCCACAATAAGATTCATCCAAGTAGGTATATTTCTACACCATAGGAAGGTTAGCATTGGCACCACTGTGACCACAAATGCAAGTTTTTACAGACGAATCTCCAGCTAGCGTGGCCGTGATGAACTCTAGCTCAAGTCCGTGGTATGGTTTCTTTGCAATCATGTCATTACGATTTCGTGAGTCACGTTAACCCCTAATAAAATTTTGTACTATGTGAAGTCTACAACAAAATGGTATTTTATTCTCAGCAGTGCACCTTAATCCAAAACTCACATAAAGTACCTCAAATATGTGGTGCTGCTACTAAAGAACCAGTCGTCTTATGACTTATGATTTAACCCTTTCACTGTTAGTGCCGTACAGATACATCTTATGAGCCAGTGTTGGTGACGTAGTAATACCCCAAAATTCTAGCGGTTTCAAATCTAGCAGGAGAAAGCTGGTAGACCTACACGTGAGAATGGGTCTGCATGATCAGTGGGTGTAGTATAAAAAAATCTTGCAGCACACAGTGCATGAGAAAAAAAAACTGACCATGTTTTTGGATTAAAATGCTGACTTTGAGGTGTATTTTCATATAGTATTTATGGTTGCATTCTAGTTTTCTTGGTCTCATTTGATAGAATGGAAGACATATTACAGAAATAGATATGATTTTGATTGGTTTCACAAAGAAAAGTATATGTACAGTGGACCCCCGGTTTACGATATTATTTCATTCCAGAAGTATGTTCAGGTGCCAGTGCTGACCGAATTTGTTCCCATAAGGAATATTGTGAATTAGATTAGTACATTTCAGACCCCCAAACATACACATACAAACGCACTTACATAAATACACTTACATAATTGGTCGCATTGGGAGCTGATCGTAAACCGGGGGTCCACTGTACCTTGAAACTTGAGCTCAAAGTAGCAGAAATGTTTGATTTTTGCCGATGTTCATGAGTAAACAAATGATGTCACCGTCCAATATGTGTCCAATTAGCCAGTCTAATACGCAGTCACAAATGGGTTGACATTATTTATATAATTATATAATAATGCAGTAGTCTGCTTAACAGTAAATCTTTATTTTTTAGTGTGAATAAAAATTCAAAATAGAAAGCAAGAGTAATATAAGAGGGGCCTGGAGACATGACTAATGAACAGAAAAAAATGCTATTTTAGTGCCAAGAATGCCTGCACTATTTATTCTGGACCCTATTTTGAATTTGACATCTTTTGAAATTAGCATGAAATTGGCCAAATTGCCAATTTCTGGCCACTTTATTGGGTAGTTGAAATCGGTAAATGAGCAGATTCTTGTACTCAGTCGATAGAACAAATGGAGTTCTAAAGAAATAGCTATGAGTTTGGTCGACTGGAACAATGGAATTGGCCGAAAATAGGGCTCAAAGTGGGGCGAAATCGCCGATGCCTATATATCTCCAAGACCGCTAACTTCATGAGTTTAATTCCATAAGTTTTCCATCAAATTTCGTACTTTTGGTGTCATTACCATTGTGAAAAGATTCTCTATCATTTCATATGAATTTCTTTTTTTTAAATTCTTCGACACAGTTCAGGATCAGGGGTCTCAACAGTGAAAGGGTTAAGAAGTTTTACTCATCCTGTTTCATATATGATACACTAACATATATATAATGTTATGCCTCCTTACATGCTAATACAATTGAGCCAGCATAATATTACTGAAGCAATGAACTCCACAAAAATAAAGAATGTGACAGCTAATAGTGAGTTCACCTGTGAAACCATTAATATAGTACAGATTAGACTTGCTTGCCATGGGCTTAAGCCCCACACTTTCTGTGACTTGTTTGCAATTGTTATTATGACTTTGCAAGTCGTGAAAACATAGTGCAGTACAGAGTAATAACACTCAGACTGAAAAATGCCCCAGATCGTGATGGAGCCATGTTATTGCATAATGTCAGCATGCATCTTGAGCTATACAGTAGGGCACCAGTATCCAAGGGAGATACGTTCCAAGACCTACCATGGATACCTGAAACTATGGATAGTAGGGAACCAT